CAATGCTGGAAAACAAGAAGTTTTGAATTATTCAGTATTGCAATACATCTCACTTGCATATTGGAATTCCTAAGTATTCTCCCACATGTTTCACCTCTCTTTTGAGGCAGTGCATTAGGTATAATTGTATTCAGATTTTTTGCAAACATAAGTAGTATATCTTTTCTTCTTTTATCCAATTGTTGAAGATTAAGCAAATTAATTGATTGATCATAAGATAAAAAAGTTTGACCAAGGATGATTCTACATGCTCGCTTCTGAATAGATTCAATTTGACTCGAGGTCGTTTAAAACCATTATCTTAAGAAACTTTAAACAATCAGCATTAGTTATATTTTTTTAGATGTGTATAAGAGACAGGGACTGGGATGGCAATATTTTGTTCTATATTGCAGACTGGTTCAATTACAGTACTTATTTGGCCGCGAGGTGTGTTTATGGAGATTTTGTGTAGGGCAAGACTGCCATATCATCCCAGACATGTTTAATGATCTTGTTCGGAACTTAATTCGTTCTCGGGATAATGTGTACGTCTGGAAGCCATCTGGCCTCCAGAGGGAATTTAGAGAAATTTTGCCAGATGGTGTTCACCTTAATGTGACAGCACAAATTATATAAGTATTCCTGTTGTGGCATTGATGTTGAGCTGGGTAGAGAACCAGGCGAAGTTTCGACAGTAACAGAAATTTGTGAGCTTGTCTGAAAAACAATAAAGAAAATCCAACTCAACAGTGACCAGAGAAATCGCTAGAAAAAATTACCAGGTGATCGACTTCAACTGCTTAAATTGAAGTTGGATTTTATTTTTGTGAACTTGTACATTTAACTGTAGAGGAGTAGAGAACTGCTGTACATAACTATAGAACTTAATTGAAACCAACCAACTGGGGGAAAAGGATAAGAAAAGGAACGCAAGGAATTGATCTGTTAGTTAGAAAACATTTTAAAATAAAGCCTACTAAAGGGCAAAGAGAAGAATTGTGATATGAGGACGATAGAGGGAGCAGTAAAGTCAAGGTACCAGGTTAAGACCATGAGGACAAAGAGGGATCAGAACTGGTTTAGTCACGATACCAACCAGGAATAAGACCAGGAACAAGACATAGCAGGACTGAAATAGAAATAGAATAGAAATGACTGACTGACCTTTGCCAAGACAATAACGTTAAGTTATAATTGCATTATGCTGTTTTAATTTTCAATCAACACATATCTATCATTTTTAAGTAACACAGGTTGTAATATGGCATCAGTGTGTATAAGAGACAGGGACAAATTTGATATGAATAATTCATGTAATTCGTTTCCATAATTAAGAAATTACGATTTGTATATATCATGTATAGTAATTAGCTGCAAGCAAAGCACAACAGCCTAAACCACTGTCCCAAATAGGTGTGTACCTCCAACTAATGACTACCTGTACCTGTATAAATGCAGAGATCCCAATTCTCCCGAGAATTGCGGGTTTCTCCCGATTTTTTAGGCCGTCTCCCGCCCTCCCGATTTTTATTAATATCTCCCGATTTTTTTAAATATCCCGAAAATTTCACGAAAAATGTGATTTTCACCATGTCATAGAGCTATGAAACAAAATTTCTTATCTTAAGCCAATATACTATGGCGCTCGCTCAGCCATAAAATGTCATAAACAAGGTCAGGGAGTTGTTATTTAAGTTGTTTATCAAAATAACAACCCAGGGCAAGGCAGGCCTAGATCCGTGGTAGAACCGCCTTGTTTATCCTCAATGTTACGATCTTTTGCATCCAGTGCCGGCCGACCTCACTCAATGAGATGGATGTCAGTTGAGTAAATAAATTTCAACAAATAGTAACGAAATCAGAAATCACATGGGAATGGATGGGGCCCGAAGTTTTCGCCGCGAAGATTTGGAACAGAATCGGTGCATAAAAAATACTTTTTCATTCAAGTAAGCTTCAGTTCTTTAAACAATACTAAAAAAATTATAGTTAATAGGTTTTGGTACTAAGCAGTCTTCCGAAAAATGAAGTTTATTTTAATATCGATCCCGAAATACATGTAGGGCTTAGGCCTAGGCTCTATCTGCAACACTGCTGGGTATGTACTGTATGTGTGTTGTGTTGGGTGGGCGTGTGTGTAGTGGTCGTTGTGACTCTGTGGTATTAGGCCTAGTTACGCACGTATAGATAGATGGAGCCTTGCGAGGCAGGATTTAATGTTTTTTTCATGGCATTATGTACCAGTTCTTATAGGCTAGACATATATAAATGCTGACTTAAAACATGTAGTATGATTTACTAACTAAATTAAAATATATATATATTTTTTTAATTTTTCAGCAAATGTGTGAATCTTGCAAGTTGCAGTTACCTTGCTAGAATTCTATGTTCTTTGATGAGATGTAATAAATCAGCCATAGCCTCTAACATACCAATGAACCAAGCAAAGCCTTGACAAACAATACGTCAGAAACCACTATCTTGCCCCTGGCTCCAGTGGTAGCGGACTTGATTGATCAAGGCGATGGTGACGATACAGCAACTAGTCAACACTCTAACCATGTGTGATTCCCTCCCCTTGAAGCCTGTGACTAACAAAGGGCTTTTGGTTCCAGTGGAATCGTGAGGTGCTGCCACATTGCTGCCAATTATAAGAGAATGGATTGCTTTAGGTTTCATTGTGTATTCTGATATGTGGAGAGCAAACAATCAAATTGCACCGATTCCAGGACAAAACTACCAACTTGGTACTGTAAACCGTACACGACACTTCGTTGACCCAAAGACTGGAGTAACAATTAATTATGCAGAGGCCATGTTGTCGCATGCAAAAGCTAAAATCAAGTCAATGATTACATGGCAGAGTTCATGTTGTTATGTGTATCACCATTTTATAGCTTTTGGCACCAAATTGCATCAGAGTTGTATATCGGTCATTTGACACTTTCAAAGTCCCTGAACTAATATAGACATTATTATTGTTATATGTTAAAGCTACCAAATATTAACATACACCTACATTATTATTATTATTATATTACTGTCTCTTATACACATCTAGATGTGTATAAGAGATATATATTGAGCTAAATAAATTGAGTTTTACATTTTAAAATTTATTTTATTATGTTTCTTGTGAAAGGAGAAATTGGTAACACATGCTGAAATCTCATAATTGGATGTAGTAAGTAAACTAATGTTGTTACATTGTTAGAAACTACCTCTTTGATAAAGCAAGCTGTGTTAATGCTATTTTTTAGGAAGTACAAGTAATTATTCAAATGTGTATGTTTCTTGTTAACAAAGGTGGCAGAAATGCTATCTTTAAAAGTATTATAATAAAATTGTATTTTTCTTGTTAAAGAAGGCACGGGCAAGTCAAACTGCGTCAATGCATCTTCTGAACATGTAATTGATGAAGTTTTACAGAAATGGTGTGTAGACAAATTATATTATAATTACATTTAGGCTACGTGCATTTGTGAATGAAGGATATGAGAAAAACGAATGGTGTCAAAGACATCCTTAGGAAGACAAGCACAAGTTAGCAGTAAAACTGTGCAAAACGTATGTTTCTTGTGAAAAAAAGTAGTTGGTAACAGAAGTTGAAATACCATGGAAGAAAAAACAAGGTTTCATTTTTAAAAGCTATTGTATTCCAATATTCTGGTTTATACAGTATATTAGGAAGTATATGAAATTGTTCACCAAAACAAGGTTTTAGAAGTAAAAACAATTAAAAAAAAAGATTTGCTGCCAAAGGCAACCCAAGGCTGAATATGTGGAGGTGGATTATTAATTGACAACGCCCATTTAACATTTTCCAAAACTGGCCATATACTTCTGACATAATTTTCCTACACATAGGCGAAAATTATATAGAACAAAAAATACGCCAGAAACAACTATCTTGCCCCTGGCTCCAGTGGTAGCGGACTTGATTGATCAAGGCAATGGTGACGATACAGCAACTAGTCGACACTCTAACCATGTGCGATTCCCTCCCCTTGAAGCCTGTGACTAAGAAAGGGCTTTTAGTTCCAGTAGAATCTCTAGGTGCTGCCACATTGCTGCCAATTATAAGAGAATGGATTGCTTTAGGTTTCATTGTGTATTCTGATATGTGGAGAGCAAACAATCAAATTGCACCGATTCCAGGACAAAACTACCAACTTGGTACTGTTAACCGTACACGACACTTCGTTGACCCAAAGACTGGAGTAACAATTAATTATGCAGAGGCCATGTTGTCGCATGCAAAAGCTAAAATCAAGTCAATGATTACATGGCAGAGTTCATGTTGTTATGTGTATCACCATTTTATAGCTTTTGGCACCAAATTGCATCAGAGTTGTATATCGGTCATTTGACACTTTCAAAGTCCCTGAACTAATATAGACATTATTATTGTTATATGTTAAAGCTACCAAATATTAACATACACCTACATTATTATTATTATTATATTATGAACAATGGAAAATTAAAAATCAATAGTTTAATTAGTATTGGTTCTTGTAAAGGAAGGATAAAGCAAAACAAATTGTGTCAATAGCATTCTAATGAAGTAAACAATAAGTAAACAATATACCTCTGCATTCATTAGAATGAATAAGTAAACAAAATGCAGAGGTATATTCATTAAAAAAAAATTCATTTCTTTTGTTTGAACTTCTTATTGAAATTACAATAAACAATCTTAATACAAATCATGTCCTGGGAATATTTAGTATTGTTCCAGGAAAAGAGGGGGTGGGTAAATCAAGTTATGTCAACGCCATTTTAATGAATGAATAAGTAAACAAAATATTGTTATATTCACTAAAAGATTTGTTTGATGACCATTTCTTTTGCTTGAACTTCCTACTGAAATTACCATACACAATCTTACAAATTATGCAAGTATTCCTGGGAATATTTAGTATTGTTCCAGGAAAAGAGGGGGTAGGGAAGACAAGTTAAGTCAATGGCATTGTAATGAATAAATACATTAAAATATGTTCTAGATGGAAATTTTGTTTGTTTCTATTTTCTCTATGCTTGAAGTACTTTAATATTGAAATTACAATAAACAATCTAAGAAATTATGTAAGTATTCCTCAGAATATTTAGCATTTTGTTACTTAGTCAAGAGGGCGTGGGAAATACAAATTGTGTCATTTAAACATGTTTACAGCAATTTTTGATGGTCATTTCTATTGCTTGAACATAAACTTCAAAATAGAGAAATCATTAGTTTTATTTCTTAGTATTGTTCCTGGTAAAGGAAGGATTTGGCAAAACAGGTTGTCAATGGCATTCTAATGAATTTACTATACACAACGTTTCTATAGTTTTTAAAGGATGTTTACGATATTAATTTCTTTTGCTTGAACTTCTTATTGAGATTACAATAAACAATCTAACAAATTGTGTAATTATTCCTGGGAATATTTAGCATTATATGTCGCTTTCCCCTCGGCTTTGATTCATCGGCCACCGCGACCTGTCGCTAGGGATTCGTGTGAGGATGCGCCCTTTTCTCAGACGCAAGTCCAATTTTTAAGAGCTAATTCAAGGCGTAGTCGCTCCGAACCGACCGGTTAGGCCTCGGTCACGTTCTCCTGTGCATAGTCCCATATCGGAGTCGTCCCGGGACTCTAGTCCAGTGCGGGACATGGATGTTTTGTCCATCCGGGCAGAGAGTAATCTGTCGGATGGGGCGCCAGTGCAGCCGGTTCCTCCCGCTGTAGCCCCTCCTCAGGAAGAGCCGTTAAAGCCCAATTGTTGGGAAAAACAGGTTGTGTGAATGGCATTTAATGAATGAAAGTAAAGTAAATGTTTTCATATACAGTACTTTAAAATATATTCTTGCAGTTACTTTCCCTATGCTTGAGGTACTTATTGAAGTTCGAATATTAAAACAATCTAATCAAATTATGTATGTATTCCTAGGAATATTTGGCATTGACACTAATAAAAAAAGCATCGGATAGACACATTTATGGCTTAAAAACAAATTATGCAAGTATTCCTGGAAATATTTAGTGTTGTTTCAGGTAAAGAGGGTTTTGGAAAAACATGTTGTCTCAATGGCTTTCTAATGATGGAAAGGGTTTTCATATTCTTTCTTGATGGCAATTTCTTTTGTTTGAACTTCCCATAAACACTCTTACAAATTATGTTAGTATTCCTTGAAATATTTAATATTGTTCCAGGTAATTAGTAATGAATGAAAGTAAACTAAATGTTTTCATATACTTTAAAATATATTCTTGCAGTTATTTTCCCTATGCTTGAAGTACTTATTGAAGTTCGAATATTAAAACAATCTAATCAAATTATGTATGTATTCCTAGGAATATTTGGCATTGACACTAATAAAGAAAGCATCGGATAGACACATTTATGGCTTAAAAACAAATTATGCAAGTATTCCTGAAAATATTTAGTGTTTCAGGTAAAGAGGGTTTCGGAAAATCATGTTGTGTCAATGGCTTTCTAATGATGGAAAGGGTTTTCATATTCTTTCTTGATGGCAATTTCTGTTGTTTGTACTTCCCATAAACACTCTTACAAATTATGTTAGTATTCCTTGAAATATTTAATATTGTGCCAGGTAATTAGTAAAGAAGGCATCAGACAGACACATTTATGGCTTAAAAAAAGACAAGTTGTGTACAAATTATGCAAGTATTCCTCGAAATGTTATGTCAATGGCATTCTAATGATTGAAAATGTTTTCATATTCTTTAAGAGATGTTCTTGATGGCCATTTTTTTTGCTTGAACTTTCCATAAACAATCTTAAAAATTACATTAGCATTCCTTATTTAATATTGTTCCAGGTAAAGAGAGGGTGGGAATGAATAAGCTTTTTTTCTTTCAAATTATGTAATTATTCCTGGGAATATTTAGCATTGTTCTGAGAAAAGAATGAACGGGCAAAACAAGTTGTGTTCATTGTATTAACCCAACGGCCTCACAACAGGCGATAAAATGTCAAAAAATTTGTGAAACAGTCTTTGGTGCTACAGACAGCAAGGACAAATTTGATATGAATAATTCATGTAATTCGTTTCCAAATTTCTACAGTTTCTGTAGATTCTAGCAGTGAATCTGTCGATGATACAGGTGATTTTTTTTGCTGTCAAGCAGTTTTATTTCATGAAAGACAATCATTGTTGTTACAATTATTTACAAACTGACTTATATGGGGTATACTGTAAATGACTTATTGTTACAAAAAACACATTTTAGAGTGATGTTTTTGTTCATTTTATGTATCTTCATTATCACATGAAAAAAACAACATCCCATATGAATTTCTTGAAGAAAAAGTAAATATTTTACAGAATTTATATAAAAAAAAAGGAAAATTCAAGTTGAACGCCACCACCTAATTGTGAACATTTTTAATTTTCACCACATAGGAAGGCCTCTTTTCCACCCCAACACTCAAAAAGAATGTCAAAATCACCTCTTTTAGTATTTTTTGGCATTTATTCCAAAATCACCTTTTTCCCTAAAAAAAAAAGGCCCAGCACAGGGGGTGCGTTTACATGCAGCAGTGAAAGAGTTAAGGAAAGATTTAGCAAAACAAGTTGTAAATATTCAGTACAGTATTGTCCTCGGAAAAGAAGATGTGGGAAAGACAATTTGTGTCAATTGCATTGCAATTATTGAATACGTAAACTAAATGCTTTTGTAATCCTCAAAAGATGTTCTTGATGACCATTTCTTTTCCTTGAACTTCTTATTGAAATTACAATTAAAAACAAAATCTTACAAATTATGTAAAGTATTCCTGGGAATATTTAGTATTGTTTCTGGGTAAAGAGGGAGTTGGAAAAACAAGATGTGTCAATTGCATTGCAATTAATGAATACTTAAACTAAATGCTTTTGTAATCCTCAAAAGATGTTCTTGATGACCATTTCTTTTGCTTGAACTTCTTATTGAGATTACAATAAAAACAAAATCTTACAAATTATGTAAAGTATTCCAGGGAACATTTAGTATTGTTTCTGGGTAAAGAGAGAGTTGGAAAGACGAGTCAATTCACTCTGCGAAATTCAGGGATGATAGCTGTGTGGACTTCCATGGAGAGACAACTTTTAGTCATATCCCGTCTTTATAGTGGTAGGGTGCAATGATTTAAACACAAAAGAGGAGGACTGGGATGGCAATATTTTGTTCTATATTGCAGACTGGTTCAATTACAGTACTTATTTGGCCGCGAGGTGTGTTTATGGAGATTTTGCGTAGGGCAAGACTGCCATATCATCCCAGACATGTTTAATGATCTTGTTCGGAACTTAATTCTTTCTCGGGATAATGTGTACGTCTGGAAGCCATCTGGCCTCCAGAGGGAATTCAGAGAAATTTTGCCAGATGGTGTTCACCTTAATGTGACAGTACAAATTATATAAGTATTCCTGTTGTGGCATTGATGTTGAGCTGGGTAGAGAACCAGGCGAAGTTTCGACAGTAACAGAAATTTGTGAGCTTGTCTGAAAAACAATAAAGAAAATCCAACTCAACAGTGACCAGAGAAATCACTAGAAAAAATGACCAGGTGATCGACTTCAACTGCTTAAATTGAAGTTGGATTTTGTTTTTGTGAACTTGTACATTTAAATGTAGAGGAGTAGAGAACTGCTGTACATAACTATAGAACTTAATTGAAACCAACCAACTGGGGGAAAAGGATAAGAAAAGGAACGCAAGGAATTGATCTGTTAGTTAGAAAACATTTCAAAATAAAGCCTACTAAAGGGCAAAGAGAAGAATTGTGATATGAGGACGATAGAGGGAGCAGTAAAGTCAAGGTACCAGGTTAAGACCATGAGGACAAAGAGGGATCAGAACTGATTTAGTCACGATACCAACCAGGAATAAGACCAGGAACAAGACATAGCAGGACTGAAATAGAAATGGAATAGAAATGACTGACTGATCTTTGCCAAGAGAATAACGTTAAGTTATAATTGCATTATGCTGTTTTAATTTTCAATCAACACATATCTATCATTTTTAAGTAACACAGGTTGTAATATGGCATCAGTCAACATGACATTGATTAATGCATGGGAAACCCTTCTGTAGATGACTTTAATGAAAATAAAAGTCATTAATTAAGAAATTACGATTTGTATATATCATGTATAGTAATTAGCTGCAAGCAAAGCACAACAGCCTAAACCACTGTCCCAAATAGGTGTGTACCTCCAACTAATGACTACCTGTACCCTGTCTCTTATACACATCTAGATGTGTATAAGAGACAGACTATATGTTGCATCTGCAGATGTGGCAGAAACGGATGTACTTCCAGCACTTTTTGACTTGAAGAAGTCGTTGAGTGTGAGAGAAGATGAGCCTAGTAGAAAAAAGAAATCAAACAGAATAGGAACAAAATCGGTGAAGGCATGGAGGCATTATAATACCTCCATGGTGAAAGTCATCACCATCTAAAAAAAGAATGAAGCAAATGGTACTACTGTAGAAACTAACAATAATTAATTTAAAGTACGGTGGTATTGCATTTACTGTATAGCCC